CACTCACGTTGACGGTTTCGACCAACTGATCATGACGTGGCGCACCGAGCGACAAGTGCACGGGGATTGTTGTACGTGTGTAAATCGAGAAAAATAGTGAACAAGCCAGCGTAGGATCATGGGATACGCACTAGTCAATACATCACTGGCTGCTCCGATCCACGACGAAGCGAACACTTCGAGCTCGGCACACACTCGCATCTGAATCCCTTGTTTGGACCATTCCAGTGACTGTGTCCGTGACGGTGCCACGCATCAAGACGCCCGAAGAAGCTGTCGTGCTGCACTATGGCTGTCTTATCGTTCGCTTTGATTCTCATTTCAAATCTTGCCTTCGATTACGTGATCCTGGCATATGTGCGCGTGCATAATCGTCGCGCAGAATCTAGCTCTTGCTGTAGACCAGAAAGTCGACGCGTTGTCTTACTATGAGTGCTAGCATACTAACTGGGTGTCTACAAAAGTTGTGCGCATCTTGATAGTGTAGTCATCGACGCTGCTTTGCAGACGTGTAGCATACTGGTGATGCAACGCATCACGATGACCGTCATCGATCGACAGTATTCGCATTCGCAGCTTTTAGCCTTGGATTTTAAAGCTCGATTCGAGGCTGCCCGCTTCTCCGCCATGGTTCAGCTCGATAGCAACCCTTTACACTCGGTATACAAAGAACAAGTGCAACCTTTTAGCTCGATAGCTTTTACATCATGTAAAGGCCATGAGCAAAAACATCGACCGTTTGCCATAATCGAATCAACTTGCTACGACGAACATGACTGCTTACTTTGGACGCGCTACAATGGTCGCCTTGAGTGCTGGGCTGGCGTACATGATCTACTCCAACGCCACTTGCACGCCGATAGACGTCGCCGCCGACGCACCCACGACAACTACCACCACGCAGTCGCCTGCTGACGAACAGCAACACGATCATCTCGACACCGATGCCAACGCGCCAAAACCACTTGAGGCCGCGATTGAGCTGCCGCAGCTTGATGCTGCTAACATCCTGGAACTTCTTGAAGACACACAACAGCGCCAACTGGACGCGATGCAGGCGTCTCTGGACGCATCAAATGCCATCGCAGCAGCACTGCAACAACAACTTGACACCTCCAGCGCCCGAGCAGCGGCAGCCGAGGCCACGATTCGTGCTCAACAGCACGAGCAGGATGTCATGGCCGCCGACCACCTTCGCACGATGGACGCGCTTCGTACCGAGTACCAGCACCAGCTTACAGCAGCGCAGGCCTCGTTGGACGAATCTGAGCTTCAGGTCGCGACTCTTCAAGACCAACTCGACGCCTCAATCGCTTTGCAGGCCACCACACAAGCATCTCTCGACGAATCCGTCGAGCGTTTGGCGCACCAAGCTC